ACATTTACAGATAATTTGTCTCCTCTGAGAGTCTGGAAGACTTCAAATGGGCTAATGAACTGATAAATGGCCTTGTGATCATTTAGAAATATGATAACAGTAATTATAGAGCTGAGAACATGTTGAACAGAGTCTGCACAGTGATCTTTAGTGGAATGTGTTGCTGTTCCTTTTAGTGTTTGCAGTTCACATCTCAGTGTGAGCTTTACTCCACATCTCACTCTGATTCTCGTTTCTAATGTACATTTATGCATTTGGCGGATACTTTTATCTAAAGAGACTCAAGACATACATTTGATTAGTTCCCTGGGAAATATACAGCCCTATTTGGACGAGACTAGTTTTCCCGAAGGACCAACGCATTCTCATCCCAAAGCGCCATATAGGACGCTTTTGCAAAAGCGTAAATATCCAACGCACATGGCACCCTTTAACGTGAAATGAGACGCAGATATATTTGGGCAGAAGGCGCCCCCTAGTGGTCTAACCCTTACCCTACACCATACCTAAACTTAACCATTAACCGAAGCGTCTCATTAGACGTTAAAGGGTGCCATGTGCGTTGGATATTTACGCTTTTGCAAAAGCGTCCTATATGGCGCTTTGGGATGAGAACGGGCTCGAAGGACGTTAGAGATTACACAGTCTCATCCCAAGAAGTCATATGACTGACGTCTTGGGACGTCTTTTGACCATACGTCAACAACCGCCTTTTTAGGGTACCCTTAAACGTCGGTTACATGACGATCCCGGGCCGTCATACAACTGACGCTATACCTTTAACGTTGGTTAGGTGACGCGGTAGATTTGCTGTAGGTCTGGGGTAGGGTTAGGATCCGATAACGTCATCTAACCGACGTTTAAGGTTACCTTAAAAAGGCGGATGTTGACGTATGGTCAAAAGACGTCCCAAGACGTCATATAACTTTTGACCATACGTCAACATCCGCCTTGCGCGTCAACATCCACGTCGACATCCGCCTTGCGCAACATCGAGACTGCGCTGTTAGAGAAAATCCGTATTTTTTTACAGTACATGCACTTACGTGTACTTACTAAGAAAGTGCTGGGCAATATAAGGTAACTACATGCTACTGAGAGTGACCTACTCTAGTAACTGACGCTAGTGTCCCATGCTGGAGACCCTGGTTCGAGTAGGACCGGTTACATTTGGTGCCATGACCCGGCTGGGACTGAGGTTTAGGGGGGTGAATGTAACGGACGTTGATCAGTAAAGGCCAATTTATACTTCTGCGTCGAGGGTACGCCGTAGTGTATAGCGTCGGCTACGCACGTAGGTGACACCGATGTAAGCATTTATACATCTGCGTTCAGGTCTTGGTTGCTCTGCAGTACTGCTCCGAAACGCTAGTTGGCGGCGGAGGGTTTAATGTTCCACTGTGTTTAGATTCCTCGCGGCTAGGTTACTACAAGCAATAGGCGATTACCACGCTGATACGTAGAACTTGTGCACTGCCACTTCTGTTGAATTACCGATCTCACTGGCGAACTGATGACAGACTACACTAAGTTTATTTATATGTCATCCCTGGTAAATTAGTCTGATTCCCTAAAGTGCCGGCTGCAAATAAACGTGCTACCTTGTTTTGTTTTATTTTAAAGTTTTAATCCACTTCTTCCTCATACTCAATTCAGTCGGGAATCCATTAAAACTGAAGTAGGGTTGGCGTTGTTGGTTAAATTTACAAAGTGGAACAGAGCAGTGACATATATAGCCTTCGTCTCAGCCATTGTTGAACTGCGTGAACTGGAAGTGGACATGCACAAAGTTGACAAATCCCGCCCATGAAACCCGGAAGCGTGATAATCCCCTATAGCGACTGAAAGAGAGAGGATCATGTTGGAGTTGGACCTTTTTGAGGTGGAAAAACTGTTAATTTTAGTGAAATTACTAAAACTGAAAGGCAGAAATGAGAGAAGACGTCAGAGGAGATGGTACGTGCGGAAATGCGTAGGAGGAAATGCGATGCTACCAAGCCGACCAATCACCGATCTTGCGGTCCGCGTCGTCGCGACGTGTAGTTAAATTTTTGAGGAGGTGCGCGTCAGGCTACGGTGAAGGGTACGCGGTATGGGACGCACCCTACTGCGCGGACCCTACACAGAAGTATAAATTGGCCTTAAGAGGTGTGTGTAAACCTCACTCCCCTGAGCTCGAGTCGCACTAGGTGCTGTGGTCTTCATCATCCTTGTTAGCGCGCCCACCTCCCATGACGGAGACCCAGTTTGAATCCCGCTCAGAGTGGGTCAAGTAAGACGAAATTAATACAAAACACAATATATTGACCCGTTTCCGTCAGATGATCGCACATGCACAAAGGTTCAATAGAAACAAGTGTTAAACCAGTCCGCGCTAAACTCTAAACTTGATGTCACTCTTTTTCCTTTGGTGTTTTTGTGTAAACTGATTTTACTTGTCACAATATAAGAGGCAGAAAGCTGATAATAAGTATCCTTTTTCTCTCCTCCCATTTCCCTCTTTCCGTCTTCCTGGTTTGGGAATAATCTTCTCTAACATACTGCAGTTGAAAGAGGCTGGGGAGTCCCTGCTGTATTTGAGGTTCTTAATACTATTAGATATGCCTCTCTCTCCCACTCGTGCATTCTTTTCTTCCTTCATTCTTCTTATTTTATATTCTTGCTAGGCTTTTTTCCTAACCTCAAATATTATATTTGAATACAAATTTCTTTCAGATCAACTCATCAATAGGTGGAAATAGTCTCAATAGAGATGAAAAATATCACTGACTTGATTAAATAGCTACAACTCAAAGTCTGTATTTAGATGCACATGATTGCAATTATTGAGTTGACCAGTAAAATAAGCGGTCCAGTTTCCTCAGTTGACCTGAAGGGGATTGTTTTTGAGGTGCATGAACCGAGGGCAACTGTGCAGTGAGAGTGTGAGAGGACGTTATCAGGTCGAGGCAAGAATTCACTGTCCACATCTATCTTCATTCCCTCTTATGATTCCCCTTTTTTTCTAATCCTCTTTTCTCTCTCTCTTTTATCTTTGTCCTTTATACCTCTCATGCTTTCTTTTTCTCCAATAGTTTATCTGAATCTTTTCTAATCCTTTCTTTTCAAAGGATGGATATCTCCTGTTTTATTGAAAGAGATAAAGAGTGAGTGCTTGCTGAAGTACAACTTCTCTCTCTCAGGAAGGATCTGGTTTTCTGTTTTGGAAAGGGAAGTGTCTCTTTCTCTCTCTTTTGTTCTCTTTCTGTGGCCGAGGGATTCTGGGAGTAATGCGGTGACACAGCTTTATATGTAAATGGCATATATAAGCATGAATAATGCATAGTCAGCTGTGACTCTCGACAAGAGTTCTTGAAATTGCAGTTCCTTTTCCATATAGACTTGGGCTGTGTCCGAAATCAAAGTACATATTAATGACTTCATGACTGCTTCTATATAGTATTAATGGGTGTAGTATGAATGTAATCTGGACGTATTATATGTGCCATGTTGTCATTATCATGTGATCTGCCAGCTTCAGTTGCGTCGCTTCACTGCCATTCATAAATCCTCTCCCGTGGCCATATGGGATAGTAAACATCGTATGCACACTTCAGAATGTCGCCTGAAGAAGTAGGTCAGCTGGATACTTTTTGCCTGCTGTTTTATGGGTACTGTGAATTCAGACTTCTTTCGTCACACATCGTTTTCCACCTACTATATAGTAGGGAAGTATGGGATTTTGGATGTAGTCTTGCATTTGTCTCGTGTTGATATGTAAATATAGACTGTGTATGTGTTCAGATGATTTGTAGACTACCGTTTGTCAAATGTTTAGGGTCTGTATGTTTTTTTATGTTTTTGAAGGAGGTCTCTAATGCTCCCCATGCTGCATTTCTTTGATCAAAAACCCTTCAGTGTCACACGATCCTTCAGAAATCATTCTAATATGCTGATTTGCTGTTCAAAGAAACATTTCTTATATCAATGTTGAAAGAATCTGTACTGTTAAATATCTTCTGTCACATTATATATGTATTTACTGTCACTTTTGATCAATTGAACGCATCCTTGCTGAATAAACATTTTATTTACTAAAAAAAAAAATCAACAAATCAAACCAAAATCAAAAAAAAAAAAATCAATCCTATTTCCAGACAATTACAAATTTTTGCACATTTCCCACACAATTCTCAATTCTGCAAATATATCATGAAAATAATAATAAATCAGAATAGAGTCTAATTGCTGTTAATTTTTTTTTATTATTTTAGTTGTAAAGTGTTTATATATCATAGTAGCATTTTTATTGATTTTATGTTATGTTCATCATGTTTTATGTTAAGGTTTTATAATTATGTAATAAATAAATATTACAGGATTGTTTTTACAGTAATGTAGTGCAGTAATTAGAACCACCATTAAAAATAATGAGAATAGCAAAAAATATAGATAAAGAGGGACATGATATATATATATCTATATCTATATATCTATATATATATATATATATGTATTTGTATATATATATATATATATATATATGTTTATTTTTTTATTTATTTTTAAATAATAATAAAAAAAAATCACTCCATTATTTTTGTAATGTAAATGTAAAGTAGAATTTTCAGACTGATTTTTTTTTTTTTTTTTTTTTTTAAGAGTAAAGTTTGACCTGGACTAGTTTTTATCCAATTCACCCATTTTGATCCCTTCCCTAAAGATAATGTATAAATATTGGGTTAAAACTTAAGCGTGTGAAAATGCCCCTCTAGCATTTTAGTGGTTGTGTGTGTGTTCTCTGGTGCTGACGGATTGCATCACGTCTCAGTGACTGCAGGGTCTGATCATCTCAGACGTGTGTCACTTACTGACAGGTGAAATGACAGAGACAAGAGCTGTCACTCATCATCTGAAATATGCCTAAACACAGCATTAAATAATGCTCATCATGCAAGTATGATTTTATTAACATTATCATTGTTGTCTCTCTCTCTCTCTCTCTGTGTGTGTGTGTGTAGAACACTCCAGTCGGAACCTCAGTGATAATGGTGAACGCGACGGACCCGGATCAAGGCGTGGGTGGTAGTGTACTCTTCTCCTTCCAGCCTCCCTCTCCGTTCTTCTCCATTGATGGGGCCAGAGGAATCGTTACTGTGACGAGAGCGCTGGACTATGAGACGACAACCAGCTATCAGCTCACTGTTAATGCCACGGTTAGAAAACGCTACATTGTCAAATGATTGTGTGGAACTCTGTCAATTCCAAAGCTAAATAAAACATGTATTTGTTTTGTTGTAACAGGACCAGGATAGACGCCGTCCGCTCTCTAGTCTGTCTAATTTGGCAATTTCCATCACTGATATCCAAGATATGGACCCCATCTTCACCAACCTCCCCTACAGCACCAATATAATGGAGGACGCACCACCAGTCAGTAATCTTACTTTGTACTTAATTCAGGAGGGTTTTTTAACCCCGCCCCACAATAATATATTGAATTATTATTTATAATGAACATTTTTATATTATATTTGATTATTTACAGTATGTACCTACATTTCATTTATTTATTTGTTATTTACAATGACAATTTTCATGACAATTAAGAAAAGGTCTCTCTCAAATACTCTAACTTTATTGGGTTTTGTAATTTCCATTTTTCTCATTTGCAAACCTGGACATGTCCTGGATCATTTTTTTTTCGTGTGATTGATCCAGATGGATTGGTACAAAACCTAGTGAGCTGCCTATGTTGACAGCCTATTTGGGCCTCATAAGCATGTTAGATAGGATGGACTTTTAGGTTTTGAGTCACAGCCAGGTAATATTTCGATATTACCCATAAAACAGTAATATATGTAGGAGGAAAAAAGTAAAGTAAAGGTTTGTGTAAACATAAAATGCTCCAGAGAATGAGCGAGAGAGGCAATTTGGCTGACAAAGAGTGATAGAATGTGTGTGTTGAGTAATTAGACAATAATTATTGGAGAAGCAGCATTTACAACTGTGAACTCTCACTGGAATATTCTTGTAATTATAGTGATAGGTTTATGATGTGACTGGCTCAGCATGAGGGTCACGAAAGGTCAATTCAGCACCGGCCGTTCATTCCCGTCTCATTTTACTCCGTGTGTCAAACACACCACCGCAGGCTCTGAGGATGTAGTGTGTGTGTGTGTTTGTGCTTCTGTCTGTGTAGAATTATAAGTGGAATCGGAGTAAAATATCTCTGGTTTATAACAGATCATAAAGCAAAAATCATATATTTCCACAGGAGATTTGCACTTACTGAACTGTTTTATCGATTTTATACTGAACAGCAGTTCAATAAAGAGCAATGTAATATTAAGTAACTCATATTTATTGCCAGTTACAATACATTTTTCTGCACCAAACACAAATGTACGGAAGCCCTGAACCGCAACCTAAAAAAAAAAAAAAGTCAGTAAAAAAAAAAAAAAAATCTGTAAAAAAAAAAAAATCTGTAAAAAAAAAAAAAATCTAGCATTTCGAGATTAAAGTCGAAATGTTTCGAGATTAAAGTCGAAATGTTTCGAGATTAAAGTCGAAATGTTTCGAGATTAAAGTCGGAATGTTTCGAGATTAAAGTCGAAATGTTTCGAGATTAAAGTCGAAATGTTTCGAGATTAAAGTCGAAATGTTTCGAGATTAAAGTCGGAATGTTTCGAGATTAAAGTCGAAATGTTTCGAGATTAAAGTCGGAATGTTTCGAGATTAAAGTCGAAATGTTTCGAGATTAAAGTCGAAACATTGTGCATTCATAACAGTGCGCGTCCACTGGCTCAGAGCGCGCGCGTGTGTGTGTGTGAAGTCGAACTGCCATGGATAAACACAAAATAGTAGCTTTTTACTTTTATCTGAATTACTTATCTTACTTTATCGTTATAAAATATAATGCGCCGGAATAGACTTTAGCCCATAGGAAAACCAACACGGAAAACACTTTTCAGACTGGATGGAGAAATCCAGCTTTATGAATGAATGAATGAATGAATGAATAGGGCATTTATATAGCGCTTTCATATATGCCTACACTCAAAGTGCTTTACAATCATATCAGAGAATCTCTCCTCAACCATAAGTGGTTATTAAATCTTAGGAAATCACAGGATCCGGCCAAATGATTGGATACAGAATGATGCACTTAAAATGTATCCAGAGCGTATTTACGGTGAAGAGGGAGACCGAACAGTTACTGTTGTGTTCTTGACCCAGATAGTGTTGACTAGACGAGCACGAAAACACCTCAGAAACACTGCCACTAGCACGTGTGACGTGTGTAGATTTTGTTGAAAGCCCAGATAAAAGTAAAAAGCTACTATTTTGTGTTTATCCATTGCAGTTCGACTTCACACACACACACGCGCGCGCTCTGAGCCAGTGGACGCGCACTGTTATGAATGCACAATGTTTCGACTTTAATCTCGAAACATTTCGACTTTAATCTCGAAACATTTCGACTTTAATCTCGAAACATTTCGACTTTAATCTCGAAACATTCCGACTTTAATCTCGAAACATTTCGACTTTAATCTCGAAACATTTCGACTTTAATCTCGAAATGCTAGATTTTTTTTTTTTTACTGATTTTTTTTTTTTACTGATTTTTTTTTTTTTTTTTTTACTGATTTTTTTTTTTTTTTAGGTTGCGGTTCAGGGCTTCCGTACAAATGAAACCGAAGTAGCTTTATTTTTAATTTTTAAAGCACTAAAGTTTACAGAAACTAAAAACAGAGGTCACTCAAGAAGGAAATGATGCAAAAACAGTTTTTAAACTTGAATTTCAAATAGATAGATTATTCAGTTTCTGCTTTTTACATATTTCTCTTTCTTTCATGGCCATATTTTCTCTGACACTCTCTGGTGTCCATTTGCATGCATATTATCTCATGAGCGTGTCAGGAGTGAAGCAGTGAGACACGGACCTATCAGTCGTCTCAGGAAGGTCAGGAGAAAGAAGACAGTGATGACTTGAGACCAGTTGTCCTGTCTAAATGTGGCGGTCAGCATCAAGTTCCAAGTGGACATGATTGATTTTGGCATTTCATTCCTTATATCCTACATCAGTGCTGGAAAAGTTGAGGAAGGACTATTAAAAAAAGACAAGAGGTCTTTCTTTGTGTTGAGAATTAGACACTCGAAACACGTACGGCCTCAATAACTGCACACGTCACACTAGCATGTTCATATAAAGCGATGTTGACACGTACACTTAGCCACACACAGAGAGCTTAAAGCTTATCTTCCCTCAAACACACACACACACACACATGGAGTGTGTCGGCTCAGACGACGGGCCTCGGGCTAAGTGACTGAGTGGGTGTGGAGAGTTCTCAAGGCTACTGACATTTACACACAAACAGATATCAAACACGCAGAACTGTCGTGGGTCATCTGTCAAAACACAACTCTTAACCCCCGCTCCAACTCACACACACACACACACACACCTGGAGAGAGATCCGGTTGCTTTCCCTCTCATCTCAATGGCTTTTTTACATTGTAGAAGCACTTAATTTAAAGCAATAATTTACTCAAAACTCAATTATCGTTATTTACTCACCCTCAAATTGTCCCAAACCAGTGTGATTTACTATATTAATTTAGTGTAGATTCTTAAATTATATTTTTGTATATATTTATAATGAATAATCACTTATTCTAAATGATTAAATAATAATTATATTATATTGAAATATATTGAAATAATCATGTAATTGCACCTCATAATGTGACTTTAAATCTCAACTTAGTTATTGGAATTGTGACTTTATATCTCACAGTGTGATTTTTAAATGCCACAATTGTGACTATTTATTATTTAAAACTCCACACTACTGTTCAAAAGTTTGGGGTTGTTATATTATTTAAATAAATTTAATGTTTTTGAAAGAAGTCTCTCATGTTCACCAAGGCTGGACTTATTTGATCATAATACAGTAAATATATTGTATAAATATATTGTAATATATAAGTATTTTTTACAAATTAAAATATCTGATTTTTATTTCAGTATTTTTAAACATGTAATTTATTCCTTCAATGGTAAATCTGATTTTTCAGCATCATTACTCCAGTCTTCATTACTCCAGAAATATTTCTTATATTTATCAGTGTTAACAGCTGTAATTCATTTTTCTGTACTATATATATATATATTAGGGCTGTGCAAAAGTTAATTGCGATTAATCGCATCCAAAATAAAAGTCTGTTTTACATAATATATTTGAGTGTGCTGTATATAATTACTTTGTATATATAAATACCTAGGCATGCATGTATATATTTAAGAATTATTTGCGCTTAAATTCTGTATATATATAAAAATACATAATCTATATTATATAAATATAAATATTTTATATAGGAATAACACATTTTCTTAAACATATACATGCATGTGTGTGTATTTATATATACAAAATAATTATATACAGCACACACAAATATACTATGTAAACACAGACTTTTATTTTGGATGCGATTAATTGCAATTAACTTTTGCACAGCCCTAATATATATATAAAGAAAGTAAATAAACTAAATATACACTGAAAAAAATAATATGCTTTATCTAATCAATAAAAGTGTGGCAACATATTACAAGCAATATTATTAATTAAATTGTACAAATTAGAATTAATTAGAATGTTAATTTGATTAATTATTAATCAATTCTAATTTGTTCAATTTAATAAATAATATTGCTTGTAATCTGTTGCCACAATTTTATTGATTAGATAAAGCATATTCATTTTTAAAGTGTAATATGTCTTTACTGTCACTGTTAATACTGTTAATTTCCTTTTAAAAAATTGAACAGCAACACATTTTTGAACAGTAGTGTATCTCAATTACTTAAACAAAATTTGCTTTTATAACTATCAATGAAAACTTTTTATAAATAATAGATATGTTTTATATATAAATACACAGCTAACTTTAAATGCTCATGTGGATTGGTGTAGCACGCAAACCGTTCGACCCCTGAATGCTCTGCGGGTCATGTTCAGCTGAATCCACCTGCCAAATGGACCAAAGTTTGAGAACAGCTAAAACGTAGAGAAAAACAATGTTTTGCAGGAAAAGTGGGGTGTTTTTTTTCACAGCTGTTTGGCGTTTTCTTTTGTCAGGGTGACATTTAAAGGCTTTTTAGGGGCAAACACAATTTGGCTGTCAAGCGCTTGATCTGAAATGGTGCAAGAGAAGAGACGCGGATGGAGGGAGGATGAAGGAGTGGACGAGAAGGTGCAGGGCGAAATATTTAGGGATGAGAGGAAAGGAAAGCGATAGAGACGTGTGCATGATTGAACATTCCACTTGTCCGGCTGGAAAGAGAATAGCTCGCAAATTACTTCAGCCACACTTCATCCTCCGTTCAGTCGCTCACTCCCCACTTTTGTCATCCATTTCTCCCTCTCTCCTCCTCACGTTCTTGCGCTAAACGTGCTGTAATTGATTGTGTGCTGTAATAGCGGTTGAGTGTTGGCAGAAATGAAGCATAAACAGCTCTCAGACACTATTAGCTGGATCAATGGCAGATGCTCTCTCACTTTTCTCTTTAAGCATCTTGACGCTTTCTCATTCAGGATCAAAGAGTCCTCTGACTTGGAATATTTTGTCGTTTTTATTTTTCATGTCTCATTTGATTCGTTCGTTCTTGAAGCTGATGTCAGTGTAACATCCCTCACCAGCTCCTTTCCTCAACAGTTTCACACGAGAAATACAATGACGCCAAAAATACACTCACCTAAAGGATTATTAGGAACACCTGTTCAATGTCTCATTAATGCAATTATCTAATCACATGGCATTTGCTTCAATGCATTTCGGGGTGTGGTCCTGGTCAAGACAATCTCCTGAACTCCAAACTGAATGTCAGAATGGGAAAGAAAGGTGATTTAAGCAATTTTGAGCGTGGCATGATTGTTGGTGCCAGACGGGCCTGTCTGAGTATTTCACGATCTGCTCAGTTACTGGGATTTTCACACACAACCATTTCTAGGGTTTACAAAGAATGCTGTGAAAAGGGAAAAACATCCAGAATGCGGCAGTCCTGTGGGCGAAAATGCCTTGTTGATGCTGGAGGTCAGAGGAGAATGGGCCGACTGATTCAAGCTGATAGAAGAGCAACTTTGACTGAAATAACCACTCGTTACAACCGAGGTATGCAGCAAAGCATTTGTGAAGCCACAACACGCACAACCTTGAGGCGGATGGGATACAACAGCAGAAGACCCCACCGGGTACCACTCATCTCCACTACAAATAGGAAAAAGAGGCTACAATTTGCAAGAGCTCACCAAAATTGGACCGTTGAAGACTGGAAAAATGTTGCATGGTCTGATGAGTCTCGATTTCTGTTGCGAAAATGTAAATGGAATGTACACTCTTAGAAGAAAAGGTTCTATATAGAACCTTGCAAGGTTCTATCAGCGCTACGTATTTGGAACCCCTAAAAGGTTCTATACACTCTTAAAAAAGGATTCCTCTGGGTTCTATATAGAACCCTGGGGTGCCATACTTGGCCAATAGAACCTTTTACCAAAAAAAAAAATGGTTCTATATAGAACCATTTTGGAGTTCCATATATGAAGCGGGGGATGGAACCATTTCTGGTTCTAAATAGAACCATTTCTTCTAAGAGTGTATACCTCATTTACACATGGTACAATCCACTTTCCATATTAAGAAACTGTCCCTCTTTGGATGCATTTGGTACATTTGCCTCAGTTGAAACATTCCTTTACTTGTAAAGAGCTTGCCAACTGAAGTATCATCATTAGTGGAAAATCTCTGCTCAGTGAATGTTACATTGCACACATACTTATATGCAAAATATATAACTCCCAGCCCCCCTCCCTGTGTCTCGCCTCAGCACATGTACAACATACTCTGACTTCCTAAAATACATTATGAAATTATATGAATAAAGAAAAATAATACATTGAACAGTCAATTTTTAGCCTTCAGCTCTCATGCAGGAATTTGCCCTGTTTAGTAACTCTGCCTTAATGTTTAAACTAAAGACAAAATATGTGTCCACTTAATTTTCATTTTTCTCTCTCTTCTCTCTCTGTTTGTCTGTAGGGTTTTGAAGTCCGTAGGATTAGGGCGATGGATCAGGACTTGGGTCGACCACGTGGAATTGGATATACGATCATGTCAGGTCAGTCACATCCATCATGATTGTCATATTCTAGGATTTGATCCTTATAGGGAGGCTTATCCTTCAGTGAGAATGTGTGGCAAGAGACCATATCCTGCCTCTTTAAATCAGCAACACTATATAGTAAAAAAATAGCCTACCGGTACTTAAATTGGTACCAAGTCAATACAAAAGTTTTATAAATGATAAAATGATGCTAGTCTTTATGTGGTACAGTTCAAATCAGTATGTGTACAGAAATTTACTAACAGAAAATTGTATTACTGTTAAAATCACTTTAATGTTTAAACTGACAAGCCTAAAAACATGTTAAAATTATGAACTTTCTTGAGGAATCTGCACTGGCCCATCGCGCTGGTACAGTATGTGATTATAGTTTTAGGGGGGGTGAGAAATGCCCGACTTTAGTTCATCTTGGGAACACAAAAGTTCATTAAGAGATCGTAAAACTAATCCATATGAATTGAGCGGTTTAATCCATGTTTTCTGAAGAGACATGATCGCTTTATATGATGAACAGACTGAATTTAAGCTTTTATTGACATAAAAATTGACCAGTGAACATAAAATAAGCTCAATTGAACCTGCTTGATACTTGAGAAGAAACCTCATTGATTCTCGCGGAAGCTCAAACACGCTGCGTTACACCAGAATGAACCTCATTGGTTCTCGCACGTTAAGTTAATGAAAAAAAGTCTTACGAGTTTGGAACAACATGAGGGCGAGCAATAAATAAATGAATTTTTATTTTTGGGTGAACTATCCCTTTAAGAAGAATTCATTTATTTAAATTGAGCTTTATTAAGATGTTATATCACTTATCTTATAATATAAAGAAATGGCACAATATTGTAACAAAAATATTAGACAATAATAATAATAAGAAGAAAAAGAATAATATATCCCTTTTATACTTAAAAAATATTATAATTTGTTTTTTTATTTTAATATTTTTTATTTTGTATATTGTCCTGATTCCAAATCTGAAGATATACTATATATATATATATTCTCCATGTCCCATTATGTTGGTGTTTTGGTTTTTGATTTCAAGGTTGTGTTTTAAGGTTGTGTATGGAGCACACTGTCATCAAATTTTAATGTTGGATGTCAATCTTTTTAGTTTGTTTTTAAGGGAAACTGTTTATATGATCTGCTACGCTCTCCGTATCTTGAATGAATGAGGCATTTATACGTTCATCGCATCTAAACGTAACACTTCTCCTCTGTTTAGCTGCATAAATGTTACCTTGATTTATAACCTGTAATGGCCATAAAGATTTCGATTGGCATGAATGTGAATATAAAATGAAACCAGAATGTATTTCTCATACATGTTAAAAGTTAATCACGCAACTAATGTACTGTAAATCTGACTGTTCTCAGCGTTTCATTGCATTTCTAAAACTAACTCTAATTCCCCTTACTCTTATATTTCAGTATAACATTCTCTTACCTCTTGGCAGTATGTGCTTGGATCACTGTCCAGTCACAGCAAATAACCTCAAGCACAATTATACAATGACTTTGACAGTGCTTATAGTATAATTTGAGTGTTGAGTATAGTATGGTTTTTCAGGCTCTAGTCGGAAAGACAGTGGCCTATATGCGTCACATTAGTGATGGAGTGGTGTGTGTGTGACTGAAAGCCTTTGTCGGTTTAGTCCATACATGAGCTTAACACAGCTGGACAAACCTTCCCACAGCGCAACACACACACACACACATACAGTTATTGTGTATGGCTTTCCCCGTAGATCACTTTCATTGCTATCAGCATGAGGCAGACCGAGCAAAGGGAGGGACAGAATGGAGAGAGAGAGGGTTACACCATGTGTTTTAGGTGTATATTGAGAACCTTCATTGGCTAAATTTGGTGTTGAATGGGTTTTTAGTAGTTGACTATGTACTGTATATAGATATTGTTGAGGAAGACATTGACATTGTCTCCGCCCACTGGCATTAAGTCACTTAATGGCTGACATTTGCCTACACTGGATGTGAGCGTCGCTTCAAAAGCATTATACCCATTATAAACACTGATGCTGTCTACACTGGAAACAGTATACAGATGGACGTTCATCTTCTGGCATACCTGCTTAAGTCCGACAGCCGAACAAATGGAAGAGTGAATGAAGGTTTGTTTTGACGCATCCAGTTTAACCCTTGTGCTGCATTAGATTTTTAACACCGTTGAGTGCATTAAGGACCAAAAATGGCCACATATTAAACATTGCCTAAAATATTATATATTATTATTATTTTCCACTTTTACCAAGTTAAATCTTTTAACCAGCATCAGTCCTCATCATAACTACCAAAAATGTATTCAATTTCAGGATTTTAACCCTTTAATTACCAGTTTTGTTTGCGAAACCATCGATTTGTATAAGAGGAAAAAACACAAAAATTCAAATATTTTCAATAAACTAAATGCAAAGAGAAAACTTTAGATTTAGATTATCACAGTCCCACTTTGCAAAAAATCCCACTTAGTGCGTTAGAGACCAAAAATGGCCACCTATTAAACATTGCCTATTGCCTAAAATAAGGTGCATTTCCACCCATAGGGAATAAATATGTAGTGACGTCATCTGGTGGAATACACTATATAATGCAAATATAATGCTTTTGCTTCAAAATGAAAGGATGTTTGTGCAAAAATCATGTTTCATGTATTACTGACAGCCTCAGATTTAAACAACGTTTTAATGGGTTTCAATGGGCCATTTTTGGTCTTTATGGTGCTGAGTGTTACTATTTGATCTACACAGTGTGTGTTATACATATATTGCAAAATGGGATCACATTTTTTACATGTATCCAAAAAGTCACAATTTTGCCAAATTGCATACCATTTGCATTAAAACAGCCAAAATGGTCAAAGAAATTAAACTGCAAAAGACCAAAAATGTCCCTAATGCAGCATAAGGGTTAAACTGCTTATTTGCGTCTCTGTACTGACACAAGATGATGATTTATTTTAACGATATCCCAGATTGCATTGGAGGATTACATGTTTGTTCGGAGCATTTTGTTTTAAAAAGAGGCACAGGATGCACGATCTATCGACCACATATCGATATCGGCCGGAAAATGGTCATTTTTAATGAAATCATTTTCGAACCGATGAGAAAATTAGGTCAACATATTAAAGCCAATATATAATGTATTATTTCCTTCAGCAGAGACACTTCAGATTCACACTGTTTACCATGATAGTTTTGAATTACTTACATTATACCGGTAAGTGAACCTCAAGGAACAAAAAAAATACATATCATGACCCCTTTAAAGAGTTTATATATATATATATATATATATATATATATATATACAGTATATTGTTAAAAAAGTTATTAATGATTTTCTGATTAAGTTATATTAAAGGACAAAGTGTGTAGTTTGTGTTTAGTAACAGATTTTCTGGACATCTGCCATTTGTCACCCCAACAGATAGTCCCGCCCCAAACTCATGCCATTGGCTGTTGCTCAGTATTGGTCGTTATGCTCAAACATATAGTGTTTCCATAGTGCCAATTTGAGGAAATTCAGCCTATGAATTATCAATGTTAAATTGGGAGAGCAAGTAAAACAACCCCACAGTTACATGCTTCTCTTTTAATTGTCATTTATTGTATTTTACGTGTTGCAGCACAGTTTGTTACTGCCACACTAATTGAGATTAATGTCCACGCCACAGGCTCGTATAGTTTTCACTGCACATTATAAAAGCAACTGTGACAAAAGTTGATTAGGCTTCTGTGTCGCTCACATTTCAGTCCTCAAGTGTTCTGTAAACACACTGAGGCACAAACACGTGAATACATTACATAAATAAATTAAGCCATCTATAATATACAATACAATGAACTGTTAAAAAACGTGCTTTTTTTCTTTTCACAGCAGACTTGAGGTAGATCATAAACCTTTTTTGTTACCGTTTATAGATATATTTTTATAGATATATTATAAGTTCTATTTTCAGGATTCTATGATATAATTCTTGTAAATATAATTACTATATGATTTTAGAATATAAATATAACTTTATTATGCATACATTTTATTTATTTATTTCATAAAATGTTATTTAAGTGTTGACTGATATAGGTCTGGTTGGGGTTTGGGATATAGGCAGATGACAAGTAACAATGCATTTATGCCATTTGCACACAAAATTGTGTCTTTCAAGTGAGTGTTTGGTTATCGTACTAATGGCAATTATCACAAAACAGCCTCTTCAAGTTCCTGTTGTGCAGGGAGGCTTGAGGACATTATTTCTGAGAATCGTTACATCAGCCCAAGTCACATCCAAAATGACATATTATTCAGTTTTTAGAGGAGATTTGGGAAGTGGTCAGATGAATATTCCGGTGAAATCTGATAGCGTTGACATTAAATTGAGAAGCATTAATGCTAAGATTTCATATGGAAAGAGGATTGTGTCAATTTCCTCCGAGCGGTTCAAGTCTAATGGTCTAATCAATAGGACAGGGATCCGCGATGTAGGTTAAACATTCCCGCTGGCTTGTGGAGCACTGCTATTTCCTGAACCTGATTCTGTACTCCGTAATCACAAGAGCTATTGCACGGGCCCTGACCCTAGATCAGCAGAATATCACTAGTTATCATTCATAATGGTAATGGCTCTATTAGAATTCATACTGCATGCTCTCTCGAAGCCGTTGTGTGAGAATCTAAAGGGGACAATCAAAGAAGCAGGGGAAAATGGGTAGAGCGCTCTCTCCAGGAGCCTCGGGTCCAGTTTGAGATCATATGAAATGGTTTGTTGAGCGCAGTTTCATTCCTGTGTTAACATTAGGATAGGTAGATAGATAGATAGATAGATAGATAGATAGATAGATAGATAGATAGATAGATAGATAGATAGATAGATAGATAGATAGATAGATAGATAGATAGATAGATAGATAGATAGATGGATGGATGGATGGATGGATGGATGGATGGATGGATGGATGGATGGATGGATAGAT